AAAAGCAACAAACTGATGCATGGTTACACTGAACAGAGGCAGAATCAGCTTTCTGTGCAGTATGGACTTTCTGAGATTCTGAAGAGTTTGAGTATTCTCCTGACTGTAGGATTGGTGGGCAGCTCTAAGCCAAACATCTGTGTGCAGTTATGTATGATCTTAAAACAGCTCCTGTTTAATTTCAGAATACCCAACAGACGGCATCCTTCTAATCGGACTATGCCTTTGTGATTACTTTGTAGGTAGAACTTGGCGCATTAATCTGCAAACATTCCCTGGATAATAATGTACCAGGTGGCAACAGTGTAAACTGCCATGGAGTGCTCTAGTAGCACGCAGCATCGGCAGGAAATTGTTCAGCAGTCAAATTACCTGGCATTACCAGGAAAATGTTCAGCAGTCAAAAGCAGGGGGGTTGGAGCTTGATGATCTTAAGGTCCTTTCCAACCCTAACTATTCTATGATTCAATGATTCTACGTTCATGGAGGCCCTTCTATTGAAAATACTATCAGTACTAACCAGTGCCATGCCTGTGACACTTCTCTGTCTCTCTAGTGAACACTGGGCCAAAATCAAACTCATATACCTGAAAGAAGAAAGCTTTCAGAATGAAAACATTATGGCATGAAGTTCAGCTGGATTCTATAAATACAGTCATCTCCAACTGCAACAGATTTACTCATTTCATTCATGAGCCTGTTTTGAGGATTTGATTTCTGGGATGATTAGTTATTGAAGAAGAATCGAACAAATAGAATTCTGGTACACTTAGGTCAATATTAAGTGAGACAGAATTTTCTGGTGTTCTACAACATTAATGTATTTTTAATGTATGGAACAATTTTGTCCTATTAGCACATAGAGTTTACTTTTTTTCCTTTCATTCCCCCCCCTCCCAATAATTTAATCTTCTGCCTTGAAAAAAAAAAAAAATGATTATGCTTCACTAATTTGATTAGTTCTTAGGCATTCAGTCTCTTTTTCTTCCATTATGGGAGTAAGAAATGTTAAGATAAAATAGATGCTTGAAAGCTCACGCATGACTGATCTAACCATGCTTTAACTGAAGTAGATATTACAAAGAAATTATAAGGCAGGACCTAATTTGTACAAAAATGAGATTCCAAAAAAAAAAAAATAAAAAAATAAAAAGGCCAAAACCCAGAAAAAGAAAAAAGCATGCTTTAGATCAATTACCACTTCTTGTGAAAGATTCCCCCTCCTCCCCTTTTATGTTGTAGTCTTTGCTGCAGTAGAATTTTTCTTAAGTCATTCTCTATTCAGGTGGGCCTTTCTTTCCTCTCTTGATATTTGAGATTGATCATTTCAAATTATTAAATGCTAACAGTATTACTTAATGACACAGTGTTTAAAAAAATTACAAAAGTATTACATTGACACATCTCATTTTCCTTTGCTATATAATATATAACTGGAGCTACTTGGGAAATTTCAATATAAATTTCAGGGTTTTTTTGATGAAGTGTCAGCCTGAACATTGCATCAATGTAACTATGTGAAGTGAATGTCTTGTTTTCAATCTAAAGATATACCCAGTGTAATTACACATTTTAAAGACTTTTTTTTTCCCTTGGCAATCCACAGGAGTTTTAAAAATATCTGTAGCATATAATTTGTCATAAATTGTCAGACTGACATGTCAGCATTGCCACTGCCTGTCAAACTTACATCAATGCCTTCATGTCACATGGCATGAAGTGACATAACTCAGAGTGATGGAATGAGGTTTACTGGAAATTTCTGTTAAATAAAGCATAAACTATTTAGATAATTCACCCTGTTAAAGAACATCAAATGTTAGCAAGGAGAAGTAGTTTTCAGCTTTGAAGTGCAGTGTCTAAGCAGCTATTTCATGTCTACTTTCATTTAAGAGTTACAAGTTTTAAACTGTCCTCTTTATCACTTTTCTGTGCAAGCTGATTTTGGTCATTTTCCAAATATTTGTTAGGTGATGAAACTAGACAGAGCAGAAAAATGCCATTAGCAGTGACAGCTTCATATAGAAACTGACCATCAAGGCTTTCTCCAGTGCTGAGGTTGCCAAATCGCTGCTGCAAATCAGCCCAGCATCTTTCACAGATAGGCACAAAGCTCTCTGCAGGGACACATGGCCAGGCTGCGTAAGTCTGCTCTGCTTTTACTGTGGATGCAGCTCTTGGCCAGGGGTTTGCTGGATGGAAATCTGTTGCTGATATAACATACCTTAGGGCTGGTAAACTTCACATGCATATATAAATGCAGCTCATTTTCCAACCTGAACTTCTAAAATCTGGAGAACGAATTTGGGAATTGTTTGTGAGTGGATTGCTGGTCTTGCTATAAACAGTGTAGGGAAACAGGACAAGGAAACTTTTGCTTTCATATTTGCTTCCTTCCAGCAATCTGGTGAGCTGGTGGATTCTACTGCATGTTTATGGTTCTTTTCCTTTAAAAAAAACCAAACACACTACAAAGCCACAGGACTCTGAACAAAGCAGCACTTTCCTGGCACCTCCTCAAAAAGGCTAACAATGAGATGCTCAAAGGTGAATTAGCTCCAGGTCTCTGCTTAAGGCCCTGACATGGTGACCTGTTTGGTGATGAGATAGTTCTGCAGCCTGCTACAGCTATTTTTGCAATAATTTTTTATTTCAGGTTTTGCTTATTTTTACATTTTTAGCTTAAAACTGCTTTTCAGATACAAGCAAATGCAGCAATGCATTGTAAATTGTATCAACTTGGCACCTGGAAGTGTGCAAAAAGTTGTGACTGATTGGCAGCTAGTGAAGAAAAATTCATGGCAGAAAAAGTGAAGAATGCATGTAGTAGAGAAACTCTTGTTTAGCTAAATGGCCTTGCCCTCCTATAAATCTGGTTTCCTCGTCAGAAAACTGCTAGTTATAGTTAATATCAATGTGTGGATCTGGAGTAAGCAAGATTACCTCAATTTTCAACTTTATGAACAGGTCCATTATTAACAGGAAGACAAGGTCCATTCATACTTTGTTTTGTGGGGTTTTTTTTTCAGATTCATACATTTGTGTTCTATGGTTTGTCACTGATGAATTCAGACTTGTCAGTTTTTCATCTAGTGCATGTAAAGGGAAAGAGGGGAACATTGCAAGGACTGAAACTGCACTTAATCCCTATACTGTTTGCAGGGGGTGCTAAACTGGTAAAGAAAGTGGAACAGTCCCTCTGACCTCAGTATTTCATTTGGAAACTACACATTATTTGGTGGAAAATCCGAACCGCTTAGGTATAATTATCTTTGAACGAGTATCAGGGTATGTGGCAATAAGCTGCAGTTATTACAGCTTGTTTCTGTTCTGGATAATCACTATTTGATCTACTGCCCATTACAGTTGAGATTCTACAATCATGGGCATTTGCATTAGATTGCTTGATGACTTGACAACTTGAGCAGCTTTGAAGCATTTTGAAATGCAAGATTTCCTTGTTTCACATGTAAGCTTTGCAAGAGATCCTTTTTCTCTCCTCCCTGAAGAAAGAACACAAGTTCCAGTTCTCTGGAAAGGCCAGTGTCATTAACTTAATGAAGCTATGCTGGCTCCTGCTTTTTACTTCAACTGATGCTACAACTTAGAATTGTCTTGGACCTCCTAGCAATTGCATCATCACCAAAGTAAATTCTCAACATTCTTTAGACTGCTCCAAAAGGCTGGCTGCTACCAGGGGCACTTGAATACAAAACCAATTTATTTCTGAAGTCATCTGTTTCTAATCTGTCTGTCTCCTTCTGTCCTCTTCATTTGTATTATTTGTAGGTTACAAAGCTCCTGAAGTTACAGTACCTACTTCAAGCTTTCATAAGTCATCTGTGCTGTTCACACCTGTGCTTTATATCACCTTGGATAAATGACTGAGTGCTGCCAGACAGCTGCCAGTTCTTATTTATTTTTTTCTACAGACATCAGGAAAGAATAATGGTGCCAAAAACGGTGCATCTAAAGAGAAAAGTAATCTCTTGTAATGACTACTTGATATGAAAATTGACAGGATGAGGGTCCTGGAAGTTTCCCCTGCTATTTTGTCTTGACAAATGTCTTTGATGAAGAATGGGGATATTTTCATTACTACACTACTGGGTTTTTAAATTATGTCATGATCACCCTATGTGTTAATTCATTTCCTAAAAAAATCAATGAAAAATCCCATTTAGTGTGGTTAGAAACCTCTCATCTCTTTCTCACATCCAGGCTGTACTAAGGTACTTCCCAATGATGGGCAGAAAGATCATGCTGGAAAAAAATAACAGTATCTTCCGGGAATAATTTTACACCTTTAGCCTAATTTAAGCATGTTCTGTTCTTTTTCAGTTAGAAAAGTAAGATACCCCTGCTTCCTTCTCTGTGAAGACAAGCTGAGAGAGCTGAGTTGTTCAGCCTGGAGAAGGCTTCGGGAAGACCTTGTAACAATCTTCCAGTACCTAAAGGGGGCTCTAAGGAATCCAGAGAGGGGCTTTTTACAAGGGACCTTAGGGACAAGACAAGGGGGGATGGTTTTAAACTGACAGAGGGGAGATTTAGATTCAACGTAGGGAAGAAATTCTTCACTGTGATGGTGGTGAGACACTGGCACAGGTTGCCCACAGCAGCTGTGGCTGCCCAATCCCTAGCAGTGCTCAAGGCCAGGATGTATGGGGCTTTGAGCACCCTGGTCTAGTGGAAGATGTCCCTGCCCATTGCAGGGGGTGGAACTGGATGTTCTTTAAGATCCCTTCCAACCCAAACCATTCTATGATGATTGTGTAATTCTCCCTTCAGCAAATCTCTGTGGGGATTAGGAGTCGGTTATTTTTATGCCTTTTAAACCATATGCTGCCAACCATCTACACACGTTAGGGATGTCTTACACTGCCCGAAGGAACTCTCTCTTCACTCACACATAACAAACACTCCCACGAGAGAACGGCTGCGGCCCCTCCCGGAAGCTGCCCACCGCTGTACCCGCCCTTTCCGCCTCCCGGGGCGCGCTGGCGGCAGCCACTTCCGGCAGGGTGATGGGGTGGTGGCGGTGGCAGCCGCCGCCGCTGCTGCTGCCGTTGCCGCCGGAGCGAGGGAGGGCGCGCAGGACCCGCCGCCGTCGCTCTGGGGCTGGGAGCTGCGGCACTGCCACTTAGCGCTGCTGCTGCTGCGGCGGCGGCAGGTGAGCTGCGGGGCCGTGCGGGGTGGGCCGCTCCACTTCTGTCTTCCCCGCGGGAGTCGTGCGCCTCCCCGCAGCGGAGCGCAGAGATCCCCCGGGCCTTGGGAGGGGAGCCCGCTGTTGAGCGGCTCTGTCTCCGGGCTGCCTCCGCTGTGTGTGCGGGCTGCGGGCGGGCTCCGCGGGTCTCTGGAGGGGAAGGACTGCGCCGGTCCCGTAGCTGTGTTGTGAGAGACGAGTTGGGTTTGACGCAGGAGCGGGGGAAAAGCCTCTCGAATTGCCTGTTGTCGCTAAAATCCTGTGCAGCGTGGAGGTGCGGTCGCCACCCCGGGCGGGCAGACAGGCAGTCGACCGCAGAGCCCTGCGCTTTCGGAGCTGGCTTTTGAGGAAACCAGTTTGCTCAGACACTAAAAATCGTGCGTGTTTCTCGCTTAAGTTACTTCGTCCGCTGTGGGGCGGATGAAGTGGTTTAGTCCTGGTGCCTGGTTGTGTCGGTGTCGTTCTGAGCTTTGTGTATTTTCTATTCAACCGTGATCAGCAAGGAGAAAGCCTTGCTAGGAGACGGCGTGAGAGTGTGTCAGGGAGGAGGCAGGATCCGCGAGTGGGTCACACACCAGGTGGGTCGGGGCGTGCTGCTACTGTACAGGTCTGGGAAAAGAAGGAAATCGTTTGGGTTCTCGTTACTGCTTCAGCCTGCACAGGAAGCAGCTTACCTCTGGGAGTGATGCTTTGTGTCAGTCTTACGGTTTGGTAACGAAACAGTTGTACCAGGTCGAAACTGATATTCAGCTATCTGATTTTCTCTGCCAATGGTATAAAATTGGTGGGTTTCCTGGGAGCAGAGTATTTAGTTCTGAGTAAAAAAGTTTCTGAGCATGTAGGATTTGATAATTACAAAGTAAAGTGCTGTTACCCTGTTTGCATGCTTGCTCTGCGAGTTTCGGGATTAAATGGAGGAGTGTGGCTGTGTGGGACAGACTTTGTGTGAGTTTACGGCTTGAGTGTGCTCAGAAAGTTGAAGCTCTGTGGGAACAGTTATCTGCTCAGTGTCTCAAATCTACATCGCTAACATCTTAGATGGCCTTTTGTATTAGTGATTCACTCAATGATTGCTATTTAAAAAAAATAATAATTCAAAAGGGTGGGGTTGTTCAGCTCTGTAAGTTGATGGAAGAAGAGGCAAAGAAGAGGCAGTTTTAATGTTCATGTATGTATTGGTTTGTAACTGAAGTGGTTTCACGGTTTTGTATTTGATATTTCAGTTAGCAAAATTTGCTTTACAAAAACCCAGTGCACGTTTTGCATTGTAAAGTGACCATCCTATGACTTGATGGAAGATTCTACTTGTGCCACCTATGCTTCATTTCCAAAGAGCTCCCATGTGCAACTGGACATGGTGTCTGTACCACCTCCACAGAGCAGCTGTTCGTGCTGTGTTCTGGAGTAGCCTGAGCTCAGTGGGACATTTCCTGGCATTTAAGTGCCCCTCAGGTTTGGTAGGGGGTGCCTCTTGCTGGATATCAGAGGTAAGGAAATGGTTCTGGTCTTGTTCCTGCTTTGGCTTTCTGTGATTAAAAAAAAAGGTGGAAATAACTCGCAGGATTCGGGTGAAGTGATTTTTCTACCCAGTGGAAGGAAATTCTTTGGGAAGTTTCATAAGCTTTTTGTTGCACAAGTGCTACTTAGATGTGAAGGATACTTTCTGTGTATTTGTAAAGAGCAAGAATTTTGAATTATGTTGTTTGCTATTTTGTGTGATATTTTTGCTGACTGGTTGTGGTCTTTTTTTTAGTATAGAATTAAAAACACGGATTAGCCAAAAAGTTGCAGTCTTTTCAGGCTCTATACTGTCACTTTGCTTTGTGCAGAGCTCAGTTTTGCAGCCTGTTGAGCTGGTTGAGGTCCGTAAACGGTACTATTTTATAAATGTTTATTTGATAACCGTATAACATTTAAAACTCTTTTTATTTCTAATTTATTTTAGTGCCTCTAAATGAGGAAGGCTCATAGGTTTTTCACTAGACCAGAAAGGTCAGGTTGTAAATGGTTGTGGAGATTAAGAACAAACACAGTTTCACTTCAGATACTGTTAATGGAGAGTTTGTTCGTGTCCTCCTCTATTTCCATCCTAAGATGAGGGTGTGGGAAGAAAAGAAAGCAATAAAAGGGGAAAAGCAGACCTGAACTGTTTCACTGCTAAATTGTGTAAGGATAAAAGAGCAGCAGACATTCTGTTAGGAGATGGATATACTGTTTCTTGAAGTTGGAGGAACAAATACTTGACACTTGACATTTAGCATGTGAAATGTTCAAGGTCTTATACAAATATTAATGAAATACTGTGAATTACATCCTAAGAGAAGTGGTTGGAGTACTTGATCAGTTGTTTAAAAATCACTTGAGTGTGTCTTGAATTATGGTGGTAGGATAAAAAAATGTTTTGTTAGGTGGTTAGTAGATTAGGAGTTGAGCTGCTCTAAGTGTTCACTTGAGTGTAGTACAACCCATTTGGTTTAATGAGGTGTAAAAGTCAGGGAGCAGTTAGCTTGCTGCAGTATGTAACTGCCCTTAGTGGTTCTTAAGACAAATATTTTTAGCTTTCAGGAGGACTTTCTGTAGTAGCTGCTGTCGGTTTTGCATGGAGGTGTTCCAACATAAGGACTCTTCCAAGTATATGGAGCTTGTCTTTGATTTTTACAGTATCAGTTCTGTATTTTCCACAATGCAGCACTTCAGTAAATGATTCTTGAAAAGCATGTTTTCCTTGATGGTTTAAAACTTAAGACATGCAATAAACTAATTGAGTGTTACTAGGTGACATTTCTTATCTTACCTTAATAAATAGCATTAAAACGCTTGGGTACAGATAAAATACTGCTGATAATCTCAGTTACTAGAAATATTACTGAAACAACTTGACAGCAAAGTCACTAAAACTGAATGCAAGTTTTTCAGAGATCTTTCTGCATTTCAAATTACTGTATGCTGACTTCAGGAAAATACTTAGGCAGTTTTTCAGTCTCATGGTAGGTATTACGCTATATTTGATTAGTTTAATGTACAGCATGGTAGTTATTGTATTAAAAGCACTTGAAAATCATGTATTGTTTTTGCAAATGTTCTTTTTTTGTGTTTACAAGATACTGTGCTATATATGGTGGCATATAGAAGGTAAGGATGAAGTCACTGTATATTGTATAGCAATGAAACCTCTGGTGCTATTTGCTTAAAATAAGCACTGAAGAATAGAGAGTTTTCAGGAAGAGCAAGTTATTAGCTTCTGCCGCAAGTCAGCAGTGTCCAAGGCTTTTGATGCGTAAAAGGCAGCGCTGTATGTTCTTTGTCCAGCACAGCATTACTAAGTTGGTATGTGACAATAGTCGCCTTATTGCAGACTGGCCCAGCACATGTTTTTGTGTATGGATTTTTTGGTGCTGGGGAGCCCAAATCTGGATTTCACCCACATTGCTAACCAGCAGGCTTTGTACAGCAAAACTTTTCCCCTGAAATGGGGGATGTTGTGCTCCTAGCCTAGCAGACCCAGCGAAGGAGAGGCTGAGTTGGAGTTGCCTGTATTCGAGCTTCAGCTTGAAACCTTATGCAAAGAAATGGTGGTTAAACCACTTGATATCCAATAGTTTTTCCAGTGTTCTTCCTAAAATTCCTCCAAAGGATAGTGAGAATTGAGCTTGGGTGGGGGGGAAGTCAAGAGGCATGTCAGCAAAGAGAGCCACAGGTTTTCCCAGGCCCATGAGGGCAGGTGTTGAAGCAGTGACAGTCCTGGTAGTTTTGCACTCGTGTCTGGAATAAACAAATCCAGTCAGTGTTCCACTAACTGCTGCAGAGTAACTAGGATCTTACTTAACCCTTCAGCTATAGTTCTGGTGTAATCAAGTTTTGTTCCTGTAACAAGACTGCAGCCTAATGTTAGTGTGATATAATTGCTACTTCTGCTTGGATAGAGTAGTGGTAACAACTTTTTCCACATTTTTACCTCAGTATACTGACTCAAAGTCTGCATGCTAGGAAAGTTAGTACTTACTGGTTGACTGGCAGTAATTCAGTAGGGGAAGACATGATAGAATTGCATACAGTCATTTTGAAAGAGATTAATTTTCCATATTTAAATAGAAATCCAAGAAAAATATTGTGCTCATGACTAGGGTATACTCAGCCTCTCAGAAGCATCTCTTCTTAAAATGCCCTAACCAAATGGTAGAAATGTTCATGGCTTCTACAGTAACGTTTTTTTCTTCTAACAAAATAAGTACTTACACATACGTGCTTTTAAGTTCATATTCAGTTGTGTTCGTGGTCTTAATTAAAAGGCTGGGAAGGAAAAAGGGAAACAGGACACATGATACGTACTGCTGATGAGCTGACTAAGTATAACGTCACAGTAATCAACTAGCTAGCTAGAGATGTTGCTGATGTCAGGCAAAAAAAGTGTATTTTGCCTTCTGACGCTTAAGCTTTTGCTTGCTCTGTGTTACTCATGCATGTTATTCATCATTAAGTAATGTTATCCATTATCCGTTTTCACCAATGAAACCAGTAATGTAGAAGGCCAAGTAGTTACCAGTGCTGTTTTCTTTCAAAAGACAGGTATGGTTTTCTAGGTGGCTTGGTCTCATCTGCTCTGTTCGTCAGTCTTGCTTTGCAGGATCCTTAAGCTTAAAAAACTAATAGGAGCTGTTGGCACAGAGATCTCCATTGTATTCCAGGTGCGAAGAATTTGAGGTTAAGTGCTTTTTACATTTTAAGCTACAAAAGTGGAACTAAATGAGTAGTTTGAAGGAGAAGGCAGTTTCTGGGTTAAAAGAAATTGCCTTGTCATCAAAACTAATCTATTATGTTACTGTTGAGGCAAAATTAGCTACCTGCTGTGATCAATGATATGTTATTTTTTTTGTAAGTGCTTGTTTCTTCTTTTGATTTCTTTATCTTTTCCAGTTGGTTAGATGTCTTTGAGAGCATTAGAAAACAGGAGCAGGTCTATTCAGGTGCATCTTAAGGTTGATGTAGACTCTCCCAGGTCCAGCCCATTCATTAGTGACCTTTGATGAGTATGCTCATTCAGTGTTGTAAGGTTACTTCTATTGCATGTTTGGTAAGGGTTGGTTTTTATTCCCACAGTGCCAGATGAAGAAACCCTGGGCTGGTTACCTGGCTTGTGACAAATGGACAGAATCATTCTAGGTTAGGGAGGGTTTCCTGCCTTTGCCCTTTGCTTCAGTTAGAAGGCAAATCATAAGCTGAGTGTATTTTTGGTGAGTCTAAATTCACTGTTTTTGTAGAAAACTTCTGATTATTACAGTGTTATAAAATACACCATGATTAACTTTTTTTCAGTCATCTGTATTTCTGAGTAAGGAAAGCTTTAAATCCAGATGAGCAACTCAAGTTTTGTTTGCTTGTTTTACTAGATGTTTTGGATTTAGTGTGAGAATAATGGTGATAACACACTGATTAGTTCTTGCTAAGTAGTGCTGACCCTAATCAAGGACATTTTGGTTTCCTGTGCTCTACCAGTGAGGAGGTACACAAGAAGCTGGGATGGAGCACAGCCAGGATAGCTGACCCAAATTAGCTTAAGGGGTAGTCCATACCATAAAATATCATTCTCAGTATATAAACTGGGGAGGGGGGGTCACCAGGAGCCACCAGTAGCTGTTTGGGGATGGGCTGGGTATCTGCCAGTGGATAGAGTGACTGTATTATGCATCCCTTGTCTTTCTTGGATTTTATTCACCGCTCTCTTCTTTCATTATCTCCCTTTTTGTTGTTATTATTATTCTGTTTTACTTCCTTTCAATTACTAAACTGTTCTTATCTCAATCCATGAGTTTGGGTTGAGACTCTCATCCCCAGTCCACTGGGACAGGGTGGGGGAGTGTGCAAGCAGCTGTGTGGTACTTAGTTTCCGGCTGGGTTTAAACCACAATACTGGAGTAAAGTAAAAATATGTAGTAGCAAAAAAAAGTCAGTTAACTGATCACTAATTACAAATCAAATTTCATAATTTCTTTTGTTAATAGCTCTGTGAGCAAAGTAGTTGTTAGAGTTGTCTTGAGCCAGACTTTCAGAAATAGTAAAATAACGTAGAAATGAAAAAATACTGTTTCATATGGAGAAGGAAAAGTGCAGTAAATGCAGAGATTCTAGTAGTGGTTTATGGTTGTTTTGGCAGCTGTTTAAACCAAGATATTAAAGGTTATAGACATATTGACCATATATGGAGTTTTGACAAATTAAAACTATGCATTAAGTACATGCCATTAATATACAGTCAACTCAAGAAAGTGTATCTTCAGAAGTATTGCTCCCATAAATCTTTTCTAAGAGCAAGTTTGATCCGTGCACTTATTTTCTTCTGAACTATTTCTTTTGCACTGCTGGGAAATATCGTTGGCCAAATTGAATCTTCTCTAATAGAGAATAAAATAGGATGCGATCCTATTATAAGCTGGAAGAAAAAGTTTCATCCAATAATTAGGAGAAGAGCTATTTCTAACAGTAAGAGGTACAGTATCACTTTAAAGAGAGAAGTGAGAGGAAAATGCGCCTGGTTTTGGAAGAGCTATGCCCCTGAAAAAGATATACACTTGTGTTGAATATTCATGATGGGTTTGAGTACCTGTTCACTGTATACAGAAGCTAAATAATAGATTAAATAGATCGTTTCCTTCTTTTCAGTCTGAAAACCTTGAGTAATGTACGTGGCATTAGTGTGTTGTACTGTCTTGTATTTTCTGAGATCTGGTTACCATGATTGAAGCATGCTAGTTAATTGGGCTTTTTTTGAGTACAAAGGAAAAGTTGTGAAATGGTAGCTGTTTCTTGGATGGTAGCTGTACATAAGCCACCAAATATAAATTATGCACAAATCCATTCTGTACTGCTGTAGGTCTTAAATATTGGATAAGCTTTTTATTACTTTGACATCACCAGTAACCCTTTCAAGTTTTTCTGTGTATTCCACATAATGTTCTGTGGTTATATTTTTGTCTGGTGGTTGTTCTAAATTGTTCTGGTGACTTGACACCTCCAAGTAACTAAAATGTTCCTGAGATGTCTTGCCTTCATCAAACAATGTACTAGAGTCAAGAAAGCAGTTATTGAGAAATCTGTATCAAGACAAAAAGTATTTTCTGGCATTTATGTGTTATCTATTACCACATTACTTTTGAAGATACTTTGGAATTAAAGCTAATGCTTAATTTTTAGTAATGTTATTTGGAAAGCTGAATATTTTAAAGTATTTGCAATATAATAAGCGTCTAAATTACCGAGATCAAACAAAGTTATAAATGTGATGACTGCACGATCAGCATATAACTAAGATGCCTCAGATCCATATTATTGTAGATATCTAGTCTTGGGTTTACTGGGGAGGGGCTTCGGGGGAAATGTCATGCCAGCAAAGCTTTGCTGTATATTTTAAAACAGTGGAATGTATTGGACCTGTAATGTATTATTTAAGCTTTAATATAGTTTTATGTGGTTGCTGGCTATACTTTCTTGCTTAGTTTATGAACTACAAACAGTGGAAGAGACTAATGATTAAGCTGGTGTTTAAAAAGAGTAAACTTTGTTTTCCATCTCCTGGTGCAATTAATAAACTCAATTTATTTTAACAAAATAATAATTAAAAAAAGCTTAATAAATTAAGCATTTTGGTAGCTTTAAATTTCTATTTAGGAACAAGTGAGATAATCTTAGTGTAGCTTTGTGTGAATATAAAATGTTTTACAAGCATTTTTATATTACTTACCTAATTAATTATATGTCTGGTTTTTAGCTGGCTCTTCTGTAAAAAACCTTTTGCTAATTAAGCATCTAAAGTAGCACAAAATACATTGGCATTTTGTTAAGCTTTGCTAAATATTCAGGTCTTGTCTTTTTCTCCAATATGTAACAGGTCAATTTTATTGGCATATAGAGAAGGATGATGGCAGGCAGTAGCCAGCTTTGCATTCAACGTTGGACTACCAAGAACGTGGCCAAGTGGCTGAAGGAAGAAGGCTTCTGTGAATATGTGGATGTTTTGTGCAATAGACACAGGCTAGATGGAATTACGTTGCTGACACTTACTGAGTATGATTTACGATCCCCTCCTTTGGAAATCAAAGTCCTGGGGGATATCAAAAGGCTAATGTTGTCCATACGCAAACTACAGAAGCAACATATTGATGTCCTAGAAGAGCTGGGTTACAACAGTGATAGTCATGTTGGCACAGGCCCAAGTGTTGGTTTGCTACAGGGCACAGATTGGTTTTGTAATGGTGAAGTACCTCGGGACTATGATGGACCAATTACTGACTCAAATGGTGATCAGTATCAATATGCAAATGGAAAAAACAAGCACTCTACACGAAGACTGGACCCAGAATATTGGAAGACAATTTTAAGTTGCGTGTATGTCTTCATAGTGTTTGGCTTTACATCATTCGTTATGGTTATAGTACATGAGCGAGTACCTGACATGCAAACCTATCCACCTCTACCAGACATATTTCTAGATAGGTAAGAAATTTTCCTTTAAAACAAATAGTAAATTGATAGTTAAAATATAGGCTGTCTTTTCTTCATTCTTAAAATTTCATGTCCTCTTGCAGATGTCTCTGAGAAATAGTAATTGGACTGTACTGAACCCTTCTACTAAGATTGAAATATGCATCAATTAGATACAGAGATTTAGTCTTGCTTAAGGGAAAATAATTTGAGCTGTTGATCTGACTTATATATATTTAATTCTACATCTTTAGCTAATCACAACACAGGCATTAATTTGTTTAACCTCTCATTCTAGTAGAAAGGGTGATGGTCAGCTGGCATAGATAAGCAGCCATATGCTTTTTCTGAAATCCAAGTGCTGCTATGAAGCCTAACTTGTCTTAATATATTCAACGGAGGAATACTTTGGTCTGCTAGTGAGCAAGAAGTTGAAAGGGAATAGCATAGATAGTGTATTTTTGCTGTCTCCCTGCTGTCAATTTTTTTAAAATGGTTTAGGGAGACTCTGAAGTAGACTGAATAGACCAGTATCTTTTTTAACTGTAGAGTATCTGTGTACTAAAACAGTGTTGTGACTTACACAGGAACCACTCCTTTTTAAAGAAAATATTTCACTTCAGGCAAAAAAGAGACACAGTAGCAAAGGTGAAATTTAGTCATTGACTACAGATTTAATAGAGGATAAATGCTGCCTTTGAGGAAGTATACTTGCACCATAGAGGGCTTATTGCCTAGAGGGTTCTGAAAGACAAGACAAACTGGTTAAGAGTTCAGTCTTTGTGATCTTCTTATTACTGCCAGTAATTTCTATTTTCATTAATGGTCTTCATGATGCCAGTAGAAGTCTAATCTTTCAAATAAGTGTGCAGAATCCCAAGTAAATGTAGATATAATTCAGCAAGTGGAGAGAGAACATGAGCTATGGCATTACTGGGTTTTGTTCACAGGGCACTACCGTGGTATTCAGTGGGCAGGAGGATGGGGAGGTCGGAAAACAGCAGCTTGCAAAACAATATGAGAAGATTACTACAAAGCTAGCATTTGAGCAGTACTTTGCTGCCCCTTTGTATCAGGGAAAACACAAAGCTAGGAGGAACAGCCTCTCTTGAAATCTGTTGGTCTGTATTTTGGTGAGTTTGTGGAGTGGAAATTGTTACTGGTGTCACGTGTCTGCAGGAAAGTCCTAAATTTCTTGACAAGCAAGGCCAAAAGACTGCGTATAGTGGTTATCACTGAGATCTAACTTTAGAAACAAGTTTTATTTTTTCCTAATGCTTTTCTATGTTGTTTGGCTTTGTCACAAGTGTTTAGGATTTTAGACTTTGCAGCATTTCATTAATTGTGTTGACATGACATTCTTGCAAACATAAGCAACATAATTGACATGATGCAAGTTTGTGTCAGAATGAAAAAGCCTGTTGGGAAACAATGGTAGAGGAGCACATCCTCTGAGTAAATCGCACATGTAAATTAAGAGAGCGTACTAGTGATTTTGTTTGACTTAGTGAATTATTTGTAAATGTCTGCTGAAAATAATTATTAGAAAGGAGATAATTAAAAATTAAGTAAAATTCTATTTCATTCTGTTTAACAAAATAATTTTTGGATGTAGTTTAAACTCTTGTCAGATTAATGCAAGTTAGTTTTGTAGTTAGAACTTTATATGCTTTTATTCTCAATACTGAGACTAGAAATAAAAATCAAGCCTTTGTATTAAGTTAACTTCCTTGCTTCATCTTTTTTTGTTAGCGTCCCTAGAATACCATGGGCTTTTGCTATGACTGAAGTATGTGGTGTAATTCTTTGCTACATTTGGCTGTTGGTTCTTCTGCTTCATAAACACAGGTACAATATATAAAATTCGAATTAACTGATACTTTGATTCAGAGAAAGGACTATAATAGAAAGTTGTGATGATTGTTTAAGATTTCCCATTCAGTAGGGGTATTACAAGCTTCTAATATGTCCCGGTTAAAAAATGGGTTAGGGAGGATTTAATCAAGAATGGTCACTTGTGAAACTTACAAAGGAATAATCTGAATTTACTTTCCTACCAAATTTATATGTACTTTCTTTCAGAACGTAGGTATTTCAGAGAGCTGCCTGTATATACCCTCGTACTCTTAACAATTTTGTATATAAGAAAATCCTATGGGAATGAAATTCAACAAGATGACTGAGCTGGCCTAGCAGCTTGCTGTCATGCATATTTTTAGTTAAATTTTTACCAGTTTGTTGATTTTTATCAGTTTGCCAGCAGCAGGTGTGAGCGCCAAAGCTAGAACAAGTGTAGCTGCAGAGGAGTGGAGCCTATACCTTTTGATGACAATAAGCTTGCTACAGTGTCTCTCCCTGTCATATGAAACCATTACAGTACTACTTTAAAAAAATTAGGATTAAACAACAAAATTACTGTGAAACTTGCAGTAATGATGACAGGACTGTATGGGATTAATTTGGGATGTGGGGAAATGTTTTCATCATAACCTTTCTGATTTAAAAAATACAGTATATTAGGATTGTTGCAATCAATTCCTATGTACTTTCCCCAGATCTATACTTCTGCGAAGGCTGTGCAGCCTCATGGGGACAGTATTCTTATTACGCTGCATTACAATGTTTGTTACCTCACTGTCTGTGCCAGGCCAGCACTTGCAGTGTACTGGAAAGGTAAAAACTTAAAATACTTTAAATAATTTTTTTTTTTCATATATATATATATAATTAAGATTGGTGTGACCATAATGTTGATGTGTGTTTGTAAGAGCACTGATGTTGTCTTCTGTCCCACTTATTATGGAATGCCTAATTGTTAATTTCCATTGTCCTTGGGAGTCTTAGAAGCACTTGCTACTTTGGAGAGGAGATAGTTACTTGGGGAGGGGTGTTGAGATGTATTTTACAATGTAAAGTGGAGAGAGTACATTGGAGAAGCATGCATTTGAGGTACTGACTTCATGAAGAAAATGCTGAAAGTGGAGTAATTGCATCTGTGTCTTATTGGATGCTAAGAAAAAAAATCCCCTCAAACCCTTTTATTATTTCACCCCTTCTAATAAGGGCTGTTCTATAGAACATGGGATTTTGTGGTTTTATCTGAACCTCTAGTTAGAAGAGGGTTGAGCTGAATATATTGGAAATTTGACAAGGATGCATTGGGAGGTTGATAACCTGCATTTTAATGAAAGACCTATAATAAATACATGATAAATGTATTAAATAGGCATAGTGTTATAAAGCTGACTTTCAAGACAACTGCTCAGGAAGTGGGGTTAGAACATAGTAAATGTTAATATTGCTGTCTTTCAGTTATATGGCAATGTTTGGGCAAAACTCCAGCGGGCATTTGCAATATGGAGTGGCTTTGGCATGACTCTGACTGGAGTACACACGTGTGGAGATTATATGTTTAGTGGCCACACTGTCGTCCTGACGATGCTCAACTTCTTTGTTACAGAATGTAAGTACAGAGCATCAATACTTAAGTCCTTAAGTTTTAAGAATATGGGCTGCTTGCTGTCAACCAAGGGTACAAGAGTACAAATACTTAAATGTCCTTAAGTATTAAGAGTATCTGGTGCTTGACCTCCTCAAAAAGTTCAGGGTGTGACATTTAAGCAAACAAATAAAAGTAAAATAGCTGTGCCCTTTCTCAGGTTTAAGACAGTTCACTTACAGGCAGGAAAGGAACAGCACCTAGATTAATGGAGAGATGAATAGGGCACATTTGAAAGAACACCTGAGCCAAGAAAATTAGAAAGGCTTTCTAGCTTGCTAATGAGACAGTACTAGGGAAGATACCTACGATTGTCTGTTCATGTACACTTCCCTACATATCTGACACTGACCCCTGTTAGGCAGAATACCTGGCTGTACATTTAAAATAATCGATAAAGACAAACTACCAAACCTCATAATGAATGAGAATATATGAAACAGTAGTGTTCTGTAAATACAAGGTGTGATTTGATATGTTTTGAACAGGGTTATGTGTTTTACGTTTTTCCCCTTAGTTCATGGAGAAAAAATGTGATTTTCATTAAAAGAAGTTGGTTGAACAAGGAATTCTGCTTTGTGTAGTCCTAAACCATTTTAGGATACTCTGTTCATCCATAAATGCTTAATAGCTGTATTTATAAATGAAGTTATGAAGTGATAAGACATTTATGATTTGTGCCATTGCTTTTGTTGGCTTTATTGAACCTGTAGATTTAAACAATATTTCCACATGGAAACAGTAAGTTCATCGCATTTTTGGATGAAAAAATTTGTAGAAAACCTTGAAATATCTAGGCCTGGATTTCATAATGACCCATATTTTTTGAGACATTCAAGGTTAGTTGTTTTCTGTTTTCTTCTAGATACACCAAGGAGCTGGAACTTCTTGCACACCTTGTCCTGGGTCCTGAATCTCTTTGGAATCTTCTTCATTTTGGCTGCACATGAACATTACTCTATAGATGTCTTCATTGCCTTTTACATCACTACAAGACTCTTTTTGTATTACCATACATTGGCTAATACTAGAGCATATCAACAGAGTAGGAGAGCAAGGATCTGGTTTCCTATGTTTTCTTTTTTTGAATGCAATGTTAACGGTACTGTTCCCAATGAGTATTGCTGGCCTTTTTCAAAACCTACGATACTGAAAAGATTGATTGGCTGAAGAGTGTGTAGGTCAGTTCAGATTTTTATGAAGCAGTTAGGACTAAGATCCTACAAGGCTAGTGGTGGTGGGGGGGGAAATGTTAAGTAGTAATTTTCACTCTGTGATCTCCTCCCCTTTGTCTTTGATTCTTAGCCATAAGATGGTGTTCCCACACTTCACAGGGCTGTGTTTTGTTTTCTTGTTGCTAAAATAGAAAACAGTGGGGACTGGGGACTGGTAAAGGCTATCAGTGAACCATGAATATAAACCAGAATACTGTTACCCTTAGTAAAGTTCTTTGTGAATGTTTATGTAACTTTAACCTCAAATATGTGCTTGTACTGAATATAATGGGGTTTTTATTTACAGGTCCAAATAATCTCTGTTACTTGACATGCCAGCCTTTACATTTACTTACTAAAAAATTAGAACTTCCTGAAGACTTTCTTTTAAAAATCATAAATGTAATTTTCAAAACAAACTCTGTTTATACTTAAAGATTGAGGAGTGCTGTGTCATAAAGAAGAAAGCAGTATTGTTTCTTGCTCAAAGGGTCTCTTAACTGTTAGATAACAAGTCTTAAAGTATAATCAACAGTATAAATGGTCTGCATACCGGTTGCCAAAAATGAAAGTCTGCCTTGTGACTATGCAGTGATAATGTTTTATTTTAATGAGAGCTTATTTAGTCTAGTCTATCAATGTGTCTCTATGGTTATTCTAGCACTTGGAAGTTTTCCCTTTTGTGTTTAAATAAATGAGTGAAAGTAAATACTACATCTACTGAAAGTAAAGTTAATTTAGCATTAGGGAGTTTAAAGCCACAAAATAACTTTTGTGTGGTTTTAATTGCTTTATATCCAAACCTGTGCATGTTTTTTAGGAGCAGCTCTTTAACACTGAAAAACCAGAAAATTTATATTCATATATCTTACTGTCCCATAAATGGGTGGGGAAAATGCATGTAGTAACTCTTTCAAGAAAAGTAATAATAGTGAGTATTGGAAATAGTGGTCATATTGATGTATGTTTTAGCACTCTGATGTCAACAATATGGTGAATATCTCTGGATATATATACATGGTATATTTGCTTATTTATATAAACACACAGAGTATATGTTCTTCTAACAAGTATGGAAAGAGACTAGTTCTTAAGTTGCTCATGTACTGCACTGAAAGCTAAAAGTACCATAAGCAGTTGAGTTTTGGTTGTTATAAAAAGATCCCCAAACACAAACACACAAAATCCCGAACACAACAACATACCTCCCAAACCCAGTCTCTGAGTCTGTAATGCATAAGCAAGGTTCACAGAGTTTGTAATCTCTTATTCAGTCATTTGTAAGGGGACAATACTAATGTTGTCTGTAAAGGCTTGAAATCAGATTAATGCTAAATGAAAATTTCCAGGTAAATGGTGCAAATTATAAAAATGGTGCAGGCCTTTTAATTTGGTCTTATGTTACTTTTTTAACCTAATTTAGCTCCTATTCCACAGAGCAGTTGTACATCTTAGAGTATCTCTGTATTGAGCACACATACATTGTACTACTCTGTAGACTTTTCTATTTCTAACATTCCAATTTTTAAGCAAAATTTCAGGTTTAATACTATATTATTCAATCTGCCATAGACTGATGGCTCTTGCCATCCAAACTGGGGGAGTATGCTTACACTTAAGAAAGAAATGAGAAAATATTCTGAAAGGTTTGAAGACTTCATTTGCTGTTCTTACCTTTCTGATTTCAGAAAGTCAATCTGAACATTCCTCTTGAGACTTTATAGAAGAGCTCTATTTGTTAATTACTCGCCTTTTCAGTGCACACACAGTTATGAATACAGTTGGTTTTTTAACTCTAGGAAACATCTGTTCTGATGAAGTGCAGAATTCTATTCTGAATTACAACATGTGGTGAGGTATGCACTTAAACTTGCAAAGCTCTTGATTCAGAAAAGAGCTATGGCAGTGCTAACTGGCGTAGCCGTGTCTAAACTGAAAAATTAATTTCCAACTTAGACATGGAGGAGAATTTTCAAGTACAGCCCAGTGTAACAATGTTTACATAAAGTAAGGCTATCATTTCAGTACTATTTTTTAATGAAGTTCATACAGTTGAAGCATAAAACTTCTCTCTTTGTTCTAATTTAATTTTTTAAATTCTGTTAAGTAAATCCATGTTTTAAATCAGTATTGCCTATCAGTTCTTTTTAAAGGGAGCTTATTCTTTTGTGCTGATTCCCTTGATGTTAAATATCCAAGTCCAAGGTAAGTAACAAGACACTGGTTTTGTGAGCATTGAAGTGAATTAAAAGATTGTCAGGATAATTGCCCTCTTCAATTTTGGAAGTTCATTTGTCTGTCTGTAAACATGCAAGAACAACGCTTGAAATTGATTGATATAGGATGGGAAAATCTGATCTAACAAGCAAAAGAGTGCAGGTCAGTCTGTAAAGTTGGCAGTGTAAGCTTTTTGTTAATTAAATGGAAACCAGTTGCAAGTAACTGACAGGCTTAAAGTTCTTTACCTCCTTTTTCCGGAGTCAGTGTTTTAAAAACGTTGCTGTTTCTCTGTTGCTGACAAGCGCTTTTAAGTAAAGGCAGCAGAGCATCATTTGGCCTTGGATTTAATTCTAAGTATGTTCAGGGCTCTCCTCCTCCCTTTTGTTCATGCACCAGTCTTTTTGCTGTCCTTTGATTTGCTGCATGTATTTTGTGTAAAGTAGCTTTCTGTGGCCTGTGGGAGCACACACATAATCTGAATTCAGAGTAATTAATGAATTACTGCATTATGTCAGGAAGTACAAGCGTCAAACATTAGTCTAGTACTACAAAGTGCACAATCTAATCAAGTAGAAAAGTCTTAATTGAATAACTCTGGATATAAAAAGGAAGGGGAGGATCACTTTTTTTTTTTTTAATTAATTTAGCAAATCTGGTAATGTTTGAGACTTGACAATAGTCTTAAGTTTTTCCCTATTATTACCAGTTTGGGGATTTGTATACACATACCTGCAAGTGGTAGACACATAGGCGCTCCCCCCTCCTCTTTCTTTTTATGTTGTATCTTATGATACATCTTCTTATAAAGCTTTCCTAAACTTTTTGCCTTTAGTTTTTCCTTTCTAAAAGATCTCTTAAACTAGTGGTTTTATAACATTACACCTGCATACAGAAATTAGACTTTAATAGATGTGGGTTTTAGCAAGTTGTGATTACACTGACAAAAGCTTACGGAAGGATCTTTAAGCAAGGTTTCTCTAACTGTTCTTGAATAATATAGAAAGTTTCCATATATGCTAATTAACTTCATGTCCTCTGGCAAAAAATATAACACAAAGTATTGTTACAGAAATGTAGATAGGCTGAAAGTATTTAAATGTCCAAGACTAGCAGGAATTGGATCCTGCAAGTATATTGCCTGTGATGAAGCAAATTATATGCTTAACTTTAAGCAATCACTACATACTCTTGACTTCAGTAACAGTTACCATTGTTGAGTTTAAGCATTTTCTTGGATAAGGGCAAGTGCGTGCTGTATGTGATATACTCTACAGTAATGGGAATAGGTAGTGTTACTTTCTTTTGGGTCTTCCACTCTCCAGTCTGCTGTAGAGGAAAACATTCCAGTAGAATTTCAAAGACATTACTACTTAACTGGGTTCTGAGAAAATAAATCTGGGAAGAAGGGGGGGGGGGAATGCATCAAAATCTTGATAGCTGCTTGAAGAAGCAAGAGCCAGTTAAATGATTAAATAAAACGGGTTTTTTTTTTTGATGCAAGTATGTTAAATAAGGTTATTTAGAAGGATTGAAACCCTTCAGTGAGGATAAAAGCACGGGTTCCTGTAATCTTTTCTGTATGGCTGTGCCTCAAGTGCCAAAAAGTGTTGAAGGGAAGGAGGGAAGGTTTAACTTGGATGTCAGTACAAGTCTTTTGCAGCAGTTGGTATCTCCTTGGGTTTTAAGCAGCGCTTCATAGTGCTATGCTTGTTTGCTACTATTTAGCTACTGGACAAAAGTACACTAGGTTTTCAAGCACCAAAACTATTGTGGAGCTGAGTTCTAATCAATAAATACACATTTGAAGAAGTGGCAGATGTCGGGGGGGAAGAAAGTATGTTTTGCGGACCTGGAGAATAACAAAATTAACCTATAATAACTGATAGGTTTTCATCCTATCCATGTAATTTCTACTGAAGAATTTGCAATAATCTACAGATAATATTGATTCTTCTGGGTTTTTTTAAAATAATTAGTGTACTTTTGTAGAAACTTGACCTATAGCTACAGAAACCATAGTCTTGTCAAGATGGAAATACATTTGGCAGAAGTCATAGCAGTGAATCATTTTACCCTCTGAATTGTTTTATGCATTTAGACTTTACCAGTCAAGGGTTAATTGATAGACCACTGATTATACAGATTACTATTTCTGATGTATCTTTGATATCATCACCATTCTAATTGAAACAGGTTTTTTTTGGGGAAAAAAAAAAAGTGCTTTGGAGTGAACCTACTGGTGTATTGTTCATTATATGAAGAAAACCACCAAAAAGACCCTCACAACCCCTCAAACACTATAGTATCATGAACACTGAACTTCCCATATGGCAGTATCCTGCATACTTAGTATTTGTATCTTAAGAAATTTGCAGTGAGTATCACGTATGTAATTCAGTGACATGGACTTTTTAAAGCCCATTTGTAATAAAGTGTGTAAGAACTTAAGATGACAAATGTGGAGCACAGTAACCTGACCTATTAGCCCAGTGACTGCATAGTTAGAATAAGTCTAATTTAATTTTGCTCTTTCAATTTAGTTTTGCAAATAGAATAAATTTGTCAAATGTAAGAAACCACTAACTGCATTGTACGTGGTACTTAAGATAGTAGGGATGTAGAAACATGGCTTTCCACACTGAACGGTTACTTCAATTTTGTTTTGACAGAGAAAATAGTATTACCCTAATGGCTAGAAGGTATGCCAGGGAAGTTTACTGTAAATAAGTAAATATTGTTTTGATTCTAAACTCAGATTGAATTAATATATTGTTTTATATCTTTGTTGTATTAAAACATATTTAAAAGTACTAAAATAAAATATTTGAAAGATGACAAGTGTTTGTTTTACGTCATGTCTAAAATGATGGCTCTCTATCTCTGTTAGCATTGTGACCGTAGGCATATACCTGAGTGATCTCTGATTCAGAATGGTTTTTCCTCAAAGCTCTGTTTTACTGGTGTGAAAATGCATGCTGCATAATGCCTATATCAGGGTGCAGGATGTTTTTGCCAGTTGTAATTTGTTTTGGCAAATTACTTACATATTTTTGTTATTGAGTTGTTGGAAAATGCATTCCATCTTGTAGGATGTCAGTCAAGTATGACAAGGGTTTTCAAAGACTTCAGCTGAAGTAACTTTAATGGCTCTGGGTATTGGTGCTGAATAGCGTTACAGTAAATCAACAGGCTCTAAAAACTTGGGAAAAACTGTGAAAGAGTAAAGGTAGCTTCTGAAAACTTAATCTTCTAATGTGTTTATGTTAGGCTTGTTGTTTTCAGTCACATATTTCAGTCATCTGAAATGCATGAAAGAATGTACACTTACTCTTATGGAGAAACTTGAGCAGGATACCAGGTATGCTGTGCGCCCTGGAGCTGCATGTTCATATTTGCAAATGGCAGTTTTGAAATTATTTTGTGATCTTAATCTAGCTGAAACATTCTTTGATGAGGATGAGCCAGGTAAACTTAATGTACTGAAACATTAGGAAGTTTTTCATTTACCTCCCTCAATGATAAAATCTCAGTCAATATATAATTTAGATGAAAAATCCTGAGTGTGAAGCCCTTCTTCAGTGTAACTTTTTTTTACTAATCAGTTGTTAAAGACCAGATTAAAAAAAGAAATGCGTGCATCAGTACATCTTAAAGAAAGGCAGAGGGGGAAGCAAAAGCAGTAAGGTTCAGTGTACCTGTTGCAGACTATGTGATCTTTGTTCTGATATTCTGGGAAGCAGCAGATTGTGTTCTAGGCAACTTTAAGCAAGTATGTGCCTTGTGTGTTGTAAAACAGATTGGGAAGACTTCCAGGGAAAATAGCTGCCTGCATCCCAGAATACGTGGCACTACTGCTTAGAGAGACAACCTTTGAATAAAAAAAAAATAATCTTTCCCCTCAGCAATACCTTGCACTTCTCTGTGTTACTGCTACAGAGATAGAAGTAGTTACTATCTGTAACGAAGACATAAAACGGGATCTATGTAGATGGGCTTAAGTTTGGTGTTAAAATGCAGGTAAAACACCTCTCTCTACCCTACACTCTTATTTGATAGAATATGGGGATAATTAACTTCAGATTGTCCTTCTTGGACCATTTGTTCTAATATAATTTGAGACAACACCCCTAAAACAAAAGGGGCAGAGGGCAAGAATAGACAGCAGCAGACAGCATTTGCTATTCTTATTGTAGCACTGAAAGAGGGTGTTCAGTAAACTTAAAGAAAACCAATTAATTTCATGGATCCTGTGAAGGAGAGTGGAGTATGGAGCTTGGGAGGTTTACCAAAACATATTCATGGTTCAAATTACTTCAGGATGTTGGGGGGGGGGGGGGTGTGTGCAAAGCAAAGAAGTTAAGATTTCTGTATTTTAACAGCACTTTCTAAAAGACTCCTTAGTGGGTTTGTTGGTTTTTTTTTTTTTAATATTGGGGAAGGCTTGTAATACTGAATGCATACAGAATAATAACCTGATATGGCTGTTGCTCATACACGCAGATAAATTGTTGCATATCACAAACCTACTTTGTGCACGCTTCTGCCAGGAACAAGGTGAGTGATGTTCTCCCCATCCTCCTGTGCTCTGAGGTAAGCACAAGCTGTGCTTCCTGTTACGATGGAAAGCAAAGGAGGGTAAGTAGGTCCTGCCTGAGGAACGGGGATATGGCCTTCAGAAGCTCACTTGAATTGTTTGCATGAAGTGGCGGTTTGACCTAGAAAGAAGAGCCACAGTTATGGGGAGAGAAGGCAATAAACCCATGAAGCACTAGCTCCAGCTTCTGTAAAACCACAAATGTTATTTTGCACCAGATCAGGCTCTGGCCAAACAAAACTGTAGTCAATGCCCAAACTGGGCCTAGATTTCAGCCCTTATTTTGCTTCTCAGTAGGTCTCAGTGCTATCTTAACAAGCTCTGCATTTTCTTAACTCTTGGTAACTTCATCAAATGTGCCTGATGAGTGACTGCAAGGTGTGTTGTCCTGCCCAGCACCCCAGGATAAAATAGTAATCCACGGTATTACAGGGGGAGCTGCTGGCTGATACCAGTGTTTATGAAGAGGAAAGCAAACTAAGTTTGTTAGCCAAATGCTTTAATGAGGTTGCCAAAAAGTGATCCGATCTGTGAGTAGCAGAGGGTTGCAGAGTACCCGACTGAAGGCTCTACCTCCATTTGTGTCCTGTCTACTAAAAATAGCCACCCTGGCTAATGCCAAGGGGTGTAACAGCCCCTCATGTGACAATGACAAGCCATCAGTCATGAGACTGGAAATGCCTAGAAATGTTTGCTCTCCTGCAGGCTGCATTAAGTAAGCAAGAGGAGACTGCAGAGGAAGAGTGGTTTGCAATGGGCACTGGCTGTTGCTGAGATGATGCCTTCATAAAGGTGGTATTCTGTGTGGTTCTGGCTTTCTCTTAATCAGGTTGTTTCTCTAAGCTATGGGTTGCAGTAACTGAAAACCAGAGCTTTAGCAAAATGCTGGTGTCTGCTTCCATCCAGATGGCAGCATGAAAGACCTCTTGGGTGTCATTTCTTTCCCAGAGCTGCAGAAATGCTGCCATGATGCTTCACACTGGGATTGTTGAAGCAAGGACAGGCTGGTATGGCTGTTAAAGCAGCACTAAGGTGGTGTGCATACTGACTGGGAGAGGGCTAGTGTTTATATGCCAGAATTAACTGATTTTATTCCAGGAGTAGTTGCCTACAGCATAGTTACACCAATAGCTAAATTCATAGACAGAGTACTACTTCAGCATTGCCTCTGCCATGTCCAAATAGATCTGAGTTAAATTCACACCTGCACTACCTGGCGTGACTGATGGATGGTTCATACCTTGTATCATTTTTGCTTTGGTTTTCAGTGGGGATGTAGACTAATCTGATGGCTATTGACTTGCCCTTTATGTTCCACATATATATATATATATGCACAAATAACTACAATAGTTAGGGTTGGAAGGGATCTTAAGATCATCTAGTTCTACCCCTTCCCTGCCATGGGCACAGACACCTTCTGCTAGATCAGGTTGCTCAATGCCCTGTCCAACCTGGCCTTGAACACTTCCAGGGATGGGGCAACTGCAACTTTGCTGGGCAACCTGTGCCAGTGTCTCACCACCCTCATCATGAAGAATGTTTTCCTAATACCTAATCTAATCTCTCCTCTGTCAGTTTAAAGCCATTCCCCCTTGTTCTATCCCTACAGGCCCTTGTAAAAAGTTCCTCTCCAGATTTCTTGTAGGCTCCTTTTAGGCACTGGGAGCTGCTCTAAGGTCTCCCCTGAGCCTTCTCTTCTCTAGGCTTAACAACCCCAGCTCTCTGAGCCTCTCTCCAGGAGAGGTGTTCCAGCCCTCTGAGCATATTTGTGACCTTCTCTGGACTCACTTGAACAGGTCCATGTCTCTCTCACGTTGGGAGCCACAGAGCTGGATGTAGTACTGCACATAGAGCCTCATGAGAGCAGGGTAGAGGAGAATCTCCTCCCTCAACCTGCTGGTCACACTCCTTTTGATGCAGCCCAGGATATGGTTGGTTTCTGGGCTCAACTGCACACTGAAGCTGGCTCATGTTGAGTTTCTCATCAATCAACACCCCCAAGTCTTTCTCCTCAGGACTTCTCTCAATCCAGTCTCCTCCCAACCTGTAGCTGTGCCTGGGATTGCCCTGACCCAGATGCAGGACCTTGCACTTGGCCTTGTTGAATGTTGTGAAGTTTGCATAGGCCCACCTCTCAAGTGTGTCAAGGTCCCCCTGGATGGCATCCCTTCCCTTCAGTGTGACAACCACAACACAACTTGGTGTTGTAGGAAAAATTGATGAGGGTGCACTCAGTCCCATAAACTAACTTGCCAGGTAACTGCAAGCACAGGCAGAGTAGGCAAACACTAACACCCTATTTAGACACAGAAACCTAAGTTGTGGTGTGGCTGACAAGAGTGCTGAGTCCTGCACAATGGACTTGTGGGGAATCTCATGGCAAAAAAACCCTCAGACTCATGCTTTATGTTAGGCTGAAGACCCCTTTTGGCACAGGCCTTATATACTGCAACATCGTTTTTGCTGCTTCAGTATAGGCCAAAGGTGAAAGATCTTTGGAAGGCCTTTTCTTCTGACAGAAGTGATTAATGGAAAGCAGCTGGCCAGCAGATCGGAATAACAGCTGGAGGCCAGGATCCTGCCAAAACAAGTATGCTTGTGCATTAAGATTACTGAGCACTGGCTTTTGTCACTTGAACATCTGTATCCTGTTCTGAGCACGTTTGAAATTCATCCTCCCGGAAAATGAAAGCATAGAAGTAGTCTTAGGCATGCCAAAGATTTCAATGAGCTTAATCAGACAAACATGCATACCGCATCTGGCTTCTCAGATTACTTACTTAAAATGGTGAGAATATCTTCAAATCATAGTCTCCTACATATAAATTCCCTAAGCAGTAAGAAATTGGGATTGCTATCAAGGTAAGTAAACATACTGTTAGGAAAACTGTACCTGCAAGGAACAGGTGAGTAAAGCTCAAAAAAAGCCCAAATGCCCCCCAAACCACAACAAAACTCCCACCCCAACATGTACACAATTGTTCTTGGTCCCACTCGTCTAGCAGTCTACATAAGCCAGCTCACAAAAACCTTGTGAGCCTCTGGCAGTGCCAGTCATAGAGGCACAGGGTACACTGTATACTGGTTGGCATGTTGTATACTGCAGAGAAAAGCCAGGGAGGCACATGCATCAGAAAGCATCCACAGCATCACTTAACACTCCTTTGAACTGCAGCCTGTGTCAGAAGGAAGCTGCCAGGTATAGTGAGAATGGTGCTGCAAGCGTGAGAGACAGACTATA